GTATAATACCTGAACAGTTCCTCAGTGTTATGCCAGCAACTACATCTTTCTAAAAGGTGATTTTAAAGTTACATGAAAGTTAGTTTGACTTGCTGGCTGAAGTACAACTTGCTTTGCTCTGCTCTGTTGAGGCATAGTGACTGACTCGGGCTGCTGTGGTCACGTAGATGTTGTTAGTTATTTACTAGTATGAAGAGGCTGAGGAAGGGGAGATTGCAACAAAAAAGTATACTTTAATAAAAAGCATATTTAAAAATTTCCCAGTAATTCTTTTAATTGTGCTTTGTTCTAACTTATAGAAGGTGTGTTTTTTTTTTTTTTCCATTGATTCAAATTAGGGTATATTCAAAACTATTAAAAAAAAAGTTGTATGCAAAGTGTTTCTACTAGAAATCTGCTTTTAACACTGTGTAAGGGTTTATCATTTGTTTTGGGGGCTTTTCTTTTTTAAGATGCATCCTTGCTTTGGCTAGGAAGAAGGAATGTGCATAAAGACAAGATTTTCATGGATTAACTTTGATTTGCTGCAGTGTGATATCTTCCTGTGTGAAATGAGAAGTAGCTACTTTCTAACAAAAAGTACAATAAGGTGGGTCAAAAAATCTCCCAAGGGATAAATTCTTATGATGAGCAGGTATCATCTGCTCTAAGATAGTTACTTTTCACAGATGTTTGTCTGATGGTAAGGCTGCCATATGCCTCCAGTTTGCTGCAATTGTTTTGTTTTATTTTATTTTATTTTATTTTATTTTATTTTATTTTATTTTATTTTATTTCTCTCCCTTTTCCTTTCAAGTTATGTCTGGTTAGAGTTAGAGGACTTGGGATTTTCGTGTATGGATTTTAGATGGCCCTCAGCCATCTCAGAGCAGAGGCTTCAGCTGGATTGCAAGAAGCGTGCTGCATCAAAGCAAACAGTCAGTGTATGTGTTTCAAATTGATTATATGGGATAGTGTGCATGGGAAATGCACTGTGGTGCTGCACCCAAAGCCCATATCGTCACCACTGGAGCCATCATTACCAGTGTTTCAGATAAGCGCATCCTGCTCAAGGTATGCAAGACTGAGCAGACTTACGTGGCAGTTTTGCAGTTTAAAATCTGATAGCCCACTTTTGGAACTCAAAGCTAAGGTTTTCATAAGTGGTAGATAAATTGGGATTCCAAAATTATTCTTGAAGGCATGTGAATAGTTGTTCCCTTAAATAGCTTCAGTGGGATATGCATTTAAGCATCTAAATAACATAATTTGTGTAGAACATGACACATCTTCACGACTAGATCTGAGGTTACAGAATAAACTTGCAAGGGCTTTAAATTATACAGCAGATCTTCATGCTGTATATAAATTTCTGATCACTTTTCAAAACTGTGTGTAAAGACAGTGGCAAACTGTGAGAGGGAGAGCGAAAGGCTTTCCAACTATGAGCGCGGCAGTTATTAGTTACTTTTATCTTTCATAGGATGTTCAGAAGTTACAATGCTGACATTTGCAAGAATAGAATAAATACTTAAGGGCATAGGAACCTAATATTAGGTTCCTGTTTAGAACTTCAGGGCTACCTGTACCTCTAATTTTAATCAATGTAGTTAGAGTGAGATCATATTTAGATACCAGATTTTGCATCAACCTGTGTGGCACCCGATTGAGGCCTGAGTAGTAGAAATTTGAGAACTGCTGTGATAAACTAATACACTCAGAGCCTCAGAGATTTCGAGTATTATTCAGTGACACACCTGGAGTGCAGTTAAAAATCATGGATATGGACAGAAAGTTGTGCTGTGCACTTCCAAATTGTGCTGATTTGCTTAACATAGTTCAGAACAGGTAATGAGTTAGAATCTAAAAGCAAGGGCGAGCTCTAAGTTTGAGTACTGAATGCGAAACAAATATATTTGTACTTCCTCATGCAATGAAATCTGAGCAGCTCTTTGAAGCCCTGTGTGCTGCTATGAAGGAGTTGGGTGGACGCGTCATGGGCCAAGGTTGTGATGAAGTTGTAGAGGGTGGCAATGGGTGATGTCAGCCTGTGAATCATTGCAAGGGTGGCTCTGTTTCTTTTGGAGCATCCTTTGATGGACTATCCCTTTTCTTCCTGCTGTTTATATCCTTTTTCTTTCACTATCATGACCACCTGCTGCTTGCCCCAGATTGTGCTGCAGGCATTTATGTGGAGAGACAAGTGTTTAATGCCATGAACTTTAAGAGCTGCATATACTCTGCTTTGACTGCTTAGCAGTGGGAACACTGCTGCGTGCTCTAGGAAGGTTACCTCTGAATGCCACTTGCAATTTTTTAGTAGTACAGAATGGCAGCTCTTCTTACTAAGCCATGTTTCGTAACAGGGAATGTTCTACATTGTGTTCCAGAATATATATGGCTGGATTTTTGTACGTTTGCAAATAAAACTCATGTTTTTTTTTTTTTTTTGCCTTACGCTATCCTTAAAAAGTGCAGCTTACTATTGGTTTTATCAAGTGGAGTGCTATGCAGAAGGAGGTTATTTTCCTTGGCTTGTAACCCAAGACCAAAGGGACCCAGGAGTGTCTTGTCTTGCTGAGGAGGAGGGACTGCAAAGCAGAAACCCCTGTGGTCCTGCTCTGTTTTGTGGCTCAGAGGGCTCATGGGAGTTGAGCTTCTTAAAATGGACAGGAATCACAGGCTTTTTGAGCATGTTGGTTCCTTTCTCCTCCCCAGCCCTGTGACAAAATGTGCTCACGAAATGTGCTCTGTTAAGAGCTAGTAGATGAGATCAGATCTGCTGAAGAGAGGATAAGCTTGCCATTTTTCATTTTCTCTTCCTAAGCTTCAGGAATTTTGGTGGTTTCATCAAGACATGTCTTTTAAGTAAATCTGGATAGATCAGAACATTCGCAGTTTGCCTTGAAATTTGGCCTTTCTTACTTCTAAGGACCAATGAGGCATATGCAGCTGCATGAGGGATGGCATTTTGGGGGCTGCTTAAGAATCTGTAATGATTAGAGAATAGGGTTTGAATAGGTATCAAAAGATTTGCATCCATGGAAGGAGATGAAGGAAATAGTAGGAGCAAAAGGCAGCAGCCACAATGCAAAGTCTGTGACACTGTGATTTCTGCCTGGGGGTTCTCTGCTACTACAGGTAAGTTACTCAACACTGGTACCCAGTTAGTTGGGTTAATAGTACCTCTACATGCCTGCAATCACAGCACATCTTCTAAAGAGAAGTGGGGAAGGCAGCTTTTGACATACTTTGGTCCCGAGGGATGCTTCGGAGTCAGCTGCAGGCTACAAAAGCCACGCATAGGCAGCAGGCTAAACTGCCTCTCACCTATTTTCTTCCTTTGGTGTTTGTGGAAGCATAACATGATACATACTTTCTCAAAAGAACAGGAATCTATCAAGAAAGTGTTCAGTCTTGGTACACTTCTTATCCTGGCTAGAAATATCTTAAATCTTAATTAGCTATTTATTGCCATCTGGAATCAAATCCAGTTATGCTGACGAAGGCTTTGTAATTTTTGGAATATCTCTAGCTGATCTGCCTGTAATTTTTTTAATTAAACTTTTTTTTCTATTTTTTCTTCCCCTTCTGATGCTTTAAAGTTGTAAGCTCAATGCACTGAGGCAAGGTCATCTATGTGTCGTGAGAGATGCAGCCAGAGAGATAGGATAAAGACTACTTCAGAATTATGTGAAAATATATAGTTGTCTCTTTGTGTAAAGGGACTATAAAACTCTGCATGGAATTTAAGAGAAGGAGAATAACAGCTAGCAACAATATGCTGTGGATGCTCTTCTGTCTTTCGGGGAGCTTAATTGTCTGCTTTTTGACTATACGTCTTCTCTTATAAATGTTACTACCTGTCAACAAGTTGCTTCTGATAGAGTTTTATCACCAGGTTCCATTTTAAGTGCCTGGAGCTCAAGTTCCCCTTCCTAAAGTTCCCTTTTCA